GGAATATAGAAAAGGGTCATGGTTCCTGGGCTGACGTTCGGAAATGCGGTCTTGTGCTTGAGATCAGAAGTTCAAGCAAGATTGGAAATTAAGCAACGTGGAATAGGTAGGCTTGCTTTAGGCACTCACGGGAATACACCAAATCAGGGAGTACAAGGTGATATGGGATGGACGTCATTTGAGGGCAGGGAAGCTAGCAGCAAGATAAAATTTGAGAAGCGATTGAGAGAAATGGGGGAGGAGCGTTGGGCTAGGAAGGTTTTCAGCTACTTGTACATGAAGAATGTCGATACAAAATGGAGGAAGCGAACCAGGAAATTGACTGTTAAATACTTTGAAAACAGTAAGTGGCCAAACCAAAAAGAACTATCGGTTAAGAAGAAAGTGAAGGAAACGGAGACTGACATGTGGAGAATTGGTATGATTAAGAAGTCCGCACTAGAGATCTATCGAACTTTTAAGCAGGAAAATGCCAAGGAAAGGATCTATGATAATACTCGGTGTAGTTCTCTACTGTTTGAGGCCAGGACGGGAGTATTGCGAACCAAGACATATCGGGCCAAATACGTATACAGTATGCAGTGCGTGTGGAGAGGAAGAAGAAACTGTGGAACACTTGATAATGTTCTGTAAAGGGCTTCACCCTGTAGTTCAGGATGATGGCGCAGAGTTTTTCAAAGCACTTGGGTTTAGGGACAGGGAGGGCAAGATAGACTTTAAGGGGGTAGCCTTAACTAAAAGGAGGTTATCTGATTGGTGGCTAAAGTCAAGGCACGAGTGAAAATTAAACCCTTCACTGCAAAGTACGAATTCTCAACCTCGCTATATAAAGGAAAAAAAAAGATAAATGTAATGATTAGTTCTCTAAGTATTACGGCTAGGTGGCGCTAGCCGCCGCCCGATCTAAAGGGTACAGCCACATCCATCAATCCATCTATCCATCCATCCTATGCGCATCAAGCGGCGCTCACTCCGTGACCGCGCAGACGGCGGATTCGCTCGCAGGATTTTAAGCTGGACGGTTGTGCCCTCGCGATCTCCGACTTCAGCGTAGCTCCCGGCGACTGGTTCGCCCTCCGGGGTCTCCTGACGCCGTGCAGCTCTCGCATTGTGGCGTCCCGCCCTTGGACTGCTTCGACCGGATCCCTACTTTCCTATCTCCTTCTTTTTCCGTCGCTTGCCTGTCTTCTCCGTCTATTTTCCTTCTATTCTTTTTATCACTCCTTTCCCCCACCCCTATAAGGCACTGCGCCGTGTCGCCTGAAGGCAGACAGAAATTAGGTGCCCTTTTTCTCTTCATTCTAACCACTACCACCACCACCACCAGACGGCGCTTCAGCGAGCATGGGAATATGAGGATAACAGGGCACACATTACATGGGAAGGGCGTACATACACAGAGCCCGTGTACATTCGAAGAGGTTTAAAACAGGGATGCCCTCATCGCCATTGCTGTTCACACTGTACATTAGAGGAATGGAAAGACGACTAGAGGAGAGTGGATTGGGCTTTGATTTGTCACACCGAAGCAATGGAGTGTTAGTGGAGCAACGGATTCCGGAATTGATGCACGCAGACGATATAGTGCTGCTGGCGGATAATGCGGAAGAACTTCAAAAACTGGCTGACATTTGTGGTGATGAGGCAACGTACCTAGGCCTACATTTTAACCCACAGAAATCTGGAGTCATGGTGTTCAACGAGGAAGCTCATGTAGCACCAATAAGGATACAACAGGAAGCCATACCATTAGTAAATAAGTACAAATACTTGGGGATCTGGCTTAATGAAGGAAAAGGCTACCTGAATGCTCATGAAGAACATCTCAAACTGAAAGGGAGACGAAATGCAGCAGTAATGAAACATGGAGCACTTTGGGGACACAATAAGTACGAGGTAGTACGAGGCATCTGGAAAGGGGTAATGGTGCCGGCGCTCACGTTCTCTAATGCCGTATTATGCTTAAAGTCAGATATCCTGTCGGGGCTGGAGGTTAACCAAAAGGCAGTCGGCAGGTTAGCTCTGGGAGCTCACAGTAAGACTACAAACGAGGCTGTACAAGGCGATATGGGTTGGGCTTCATTTGAGGCGAGGGAAGCACAAAGTAAAATACGATTTGAGGAGCGACTTAGACATTTAGATGAGAAGAACTGGGCAGCCAGAGTGCACAGATACCTGTACCTGAAAAGTGTGGACACCCAGTGGCGGAAGAGGACGCGAAAGCTGGCGACTAAATATAACTTGACCGCGGCAAATAAGCAAAGGGGGCCAGTTAAAAAGCAAGTGAGGGAAACAGAGACGCTCATGTGGAAAGAGAGGATGGAAAAGAAGGGATCGCTGGGAATCTACAAGGCAAGCAAACAAGAGATCCGGAAAGAGAACTTTTATGACAACAATAAAGGTAGTGCGTTGCTCTTTGAGGCGCGGGCTGGCTGCTTGAGAACTCTAACTTACAGGAGCAAATATTCGTCACAGGATGAGACATGTGTTGGATGTGGCATAAATAAAGAAACCATCGACCACATAGTCATGGAATGCCAAAAGATTCAGCCGGATAGAAATGGGGGGAAGGTCGCACTTCCTGAGGCGCTGGGCTTCGCGGTTGATGGAAGCATTAACTGGTCAGCAGTAGGTATTACTAAGCAGCGGCTGGAGTATTGGTGGAGGAAAAGCAGATAAGTCGATAAAATAACATCCCAGCCAAGAGTAGCGGCTGGGCAAAATTAAAAAGACATCCGAGTTGAGGGACAAAATTGAAACTCGAATTATTAAGGTAGGCTAGATAGCACATGCCGTCACCCCGATTCAAAGGGGAGGCCTTTAATCATCATCATCATCATCATCAATAATGGCAGTGACTGCTACGACTCGGTGAAAATGGGTGCGACTACAGTGTACTAGAATAGTACACTATTCTAGTACACTGTAGGTGCGACTGTTTTCACAACAAATCCGTGCAGGGCGGGGCCTCGCCGCGATGACGTAGCCACCATTTTCTATTTTCTCTCTCTCTCTCTCTCCGTTGGACGGCGCGGTACTAAGGTCCCTAGATAAAAAAGTTTTCAGTGTAGCGACACCCTCTCTTTTTCTCCTCGCTTATTTGCCTGAAGCGCCTCCAAGAAGAGTCAAAGCGTGCATAAAAAAGCGAACGTTTGTGTTTAGTTACTACGGCAGATAGAAACAATTATACCAAATGAGAAGTAAATGAGACCTAGGTTAAAAGGTTACTTAGTTGAAAATAAGCGGTACAACATAAGAAGAAGCGTGATGTGTGTTACCCAACTGGCAACGTTGTGCAAGTTCTATATTTCACACCATTAGCCATGGCGTCTCGCATCGTACGCAAGGAGGATATAACGACGTACGATCCTCCTTGATCGTAAGTCGTAGTTCGTCCAGTTCTCCGAATGTGTTTTGCTCGTGCATGTGATGTGGCACAGTTAGCGTTCTTCTTGCTGGATCCTGTGACCCTGACTTACCACAGGGCAGCACTTTGTTGTGACGAGTGATCATAGCAGCTTGTGAGCACACAGGGAAAAACCGCGGCCAATCTGGAACGAACGCTTGACTAGCAGCACTGCGATTACAGCTTTTTCTGAAAAAATACGTCCACTTTCGCAATCAGGATGCCAGATAATCGTGGTGCATGTTATATCAGCTGGGTGACTATGAAAGAGACTGCGGCACCGCAATGCGGGTGCACGCAACTTAACGACAAGTTAGGGTTCTACGAGTGGGGTGTCCCGGCACTACAACGTGCGCGTAGAGACGTTTGTGAGTGACGCCAACAGACGCGCACGTTGCACCCTTTGTGACTCATCGCCGCATTCACTGTCCCGAAGTGATGAACTTTGCGACGATGTCGTCGCCCCACCATCAGCGGCAAGTAGCAGAAATGTGCTGGAATACTGAACGATGGGCATTAGAAAAGCGTGATAGTGAGCGCGGCCTTTCCTGCAAGCTCGCTGTAGCACTGGTCTTCCCGCATGTTAACCAAGTGCTGGCGCACCACTAGCGCTTCTCTGTTGTGCACGGGATTGTGCCGTTTGTAACCGTCATTGTGAACTCGTTCGACAGAGTGGCTGGAGTGGCTACATTCCCGCACACCCGAATACTTTACAGAGTGCACCCGAGCCAGTACGGGCTGTAATTTCAGTCAGAAGCACCGACCAGCACTTCGCCCTCACCTCACCTCCAGCATGCACCCCCACCCTATGCCACCCCTTAGAAAGCGATGGAAGGATCTTGCCAAGGTTCCTTGTTTTAACTAGGGACCTTAGATCTTGCTGCCCAGCCCTGCCCGCAGTGGAACAATCATATTTAGCATTCCAGTGTAATTTCTTGAGCACTTATTACCATTTAGTGAATGTAATCTTAGAGACAGCCCCATAGCTAAACCTTTTTTCACAAAGGTATATGTCCACTTTTTTGGTTAATACTTCAAGCAGCTGTGCAGTGTTCAGCTGTTTCCCGTGATATTCAATGTACAATGTAGCTGTGGTAACATGTGGGGCTAATTTCAAAGCAAACCAAAAGCTTCACAAGTAGTTGAGCAGCCCCTGAAAAACTATCAAGTAAAAAATGTTACTGTAATGTTAACAGACAGCTAGAGATGACAGACGAAGTGTCGAATGCTGCTATTCTGGTGGAAATTGTGAAAAAAAAAACTGCAGATGGGTACGGCTAAGGCACCCAGATAAAACAAAGTTGCTTAAGTAAAAGCCTTAGGCGACACATGTAACTGGTAGGGATGATAACTGATACACATACACAAATATAGAATGAGGGGTTATGAAATTATTAAACGTGGAAGTACACGCTCAATTGAGGGGACTCAAGAAGCGTCATCACAAGAACGCTGGAAGGGGCATTCGTTCTGAAAAGGACAAAAATAGGGCGCTGATGCATCAATAGATGCACTGAGCTACGTACAACGGCACTATTTCAACATGCTATGTAAATCAGGACACTGGAATGTTAAAAGGAACAAGGAGGCACAATGTTGACTACAAATATTTATTCTTGTTACTTCGTTACAATCTCTGGCAACATTTTCATAGCAGGCACCTATGATTAAACAAGCATGTCCTGGGCTGTTGCAAAGACACGCAAACCACACCAAGACACTTCATTTGTCAGTAAACAATAAAACTATGAAGAAAATTGCAGCATGTGACATTCAATGCAGAACATTGTTTGATCATTGCCTGAACAACAGGTACCAGAGGAAGACTCACCGTTACATTTTTTTCAACATGAACATGCGTGCTTTGAAACATACAATGAATGGCCTAGCAACACACTGTACTGACAATTTACACAGACACGAATGCCTTAATGGCATGAACAAAGGTGAACATGCAAACCGATTTCCACTGCAGCTTGTTGTCATATACATGAGGTGTATTACAGCAAGATTCACTGAGTAACTTTCGGATCAATAATATGTGTTTTCAAATATACAGGTGATGACACAGTAGAGCATTGCACTAACCATTTCCGCAGACTTCCATACAAATGTCTGCATGGGATCATGAAAGTTAAACAATGCACACTACATCCACAGAGATGTTACAATACAGTTTGTGATGTCACATGATGTACTAGTGAAAGGCGCATTCAATAATGCTTGCAAAAATGACCTGTGTGATTTGAGATGTCTAGTAAAACACTGGAGTAACAATTTCCACAAACTTATACACGAATGTCTGCATGGCAGAAACACTTCAACGGTGTATGTAAACTGCAGATATATGTTGTTGCCACGTTGTGCGCATGCCTAGAGGACAGTATGGTCAAGTGACGTTTGGAAAAAAACTGATATTTCTAAAGTGACGGGAAGTTGCATTGTAACAGTTTGCTACAGTTTCCACTAGCTATACAAGTGCCCTGTGGCATAAACGTAGCAGTACAGTTTATATATCCACACATTACCGCAAAACCTTCGTCGTACATTACATAACAGATAAGAGACAGGCATGTTCATCATTGCTTGGAGGAGTAACTAGACTGTTTGAACAAGTATTCAATGGACACTTTGTACTCACCATTTGCACAAGTGATGGTAATGCCTTCATGGTGTAAATGAAATGAAACATTACCTTGTGTAAAGAGATGTTCCTAAGGTGCCTCTCGTTCATTTGTCGTGCGAGCTTATAGGAAGGTAAATTGGGCATTGTGTGTATATGCGTGTTTTGAAGAGGATGTAATGAGTACATGAAAACATTGCACGAAAAATTTTTGCATTGTACATGACTGCATCCATGGCAGAAGATGGAAAGGTACAGGTTATTTCTATCACGCTCATCTATGTGACTTGCTGTCATGTTACATTGTAAACTACAGAAGGATACCTTAAGAGTTGTCCCGTGCCGGAAGCATGTTCTGAAATGATGAAAAATACAGCAATCACGTACCAAAACAGGTTGTGCTTTGGTCCTTAAACTTGCGCTTACTTGAATGACATGGTACACGTGGGGTATTGCTGTGAACCTAGGCAGCACAAAATTTTTTAAGGAATGTAAATCTAGTCAGGATGTTGTCAACAAGTTGACAATGGCAGCATTAAGGAACTTGGACAGTATGGCTCTTGGTACTTCAGTTTCTCAAGCACGCATGACGTGTAAGATGGAAAGATTTTGACAAGGCTATTGAAGGTGCGCAGGCAGCTAGATAGAATAAAAATGCGTTCTCCAAGGAACTCTCCTGGCACGCACGCCACATTGGCTGCAAGGGCGCTTTCTACACTGCTATTTTTTAAGGAAGGTTGGCCACAGCAGCTCTCATTCCTACACTTTTACTTCCACATTTATTGTCGATTTGCATGCTTCGAGCCAATGTCTCTTTCCTTACTTGTATGTGCATCCTTGCGGAGAAGAACACGGAAAGAATAGCCTCCAATACATTATGACAGTGTGGAAACAAGGTATTACACGATATCGCACTTTTAACAGCAATTTTGGTGGCTGATACAGGAACATGATTATGGATATGCTGCTCTTTATTTTTTTGAAAGTGAGACTGCGCTACCTTTAGAACTTCTACAACTGCTTCAGAAGCTACACACAACGCTAACTTTTCTTTGTACGATTTCAGCTGCGTGAGTCGCGGAACGTCTTTGTTCCCTGTCATGGCACTTACACAAGCACCACAGTTTTTTACTAACTTCTTAGCACTGTGAACAACATACCCTGCGAAGTACAAAAATGACTTGTGCTCTAACATATTCATGTCATGAATGTCAGCAGGAATTAAAACTGTTTCTCTGGTGCTGTCTTCATTGTCTGAGCTCAAACCAGCAAGTAAAAAGCCACCGTCCTTAGTGTAGCTGCCATCAGCACTAGCGTGTAGAAACTGTGCTAACGTTGTGGAACGCAACGCGCACTTAAATTCATATAACCTGGGAATCGGATGCTTAGCTCTAAGAGAAGAGAAGAAATTTTCCAGCGCATCTTGGCAAAATCTGCCAAGGAACAGAAAGCGGAATTTGCAAAATGATAGGGAATACTCCTGCAGCTCAAGTACAGAGAGCGTACTGAGAATAGCCCCTATCTGCACAGGCTTCCATGGGGCATTTTTGACGGTGCCGATAGAGAGCCCTTCAAAAAGTACAACAAAATTCTTGAGAAAGCCAATACTTGCCTGCCTCTCTGTCTCAAAAACTTTACTCAAGGCAAGTTTGGTTGTTCGTGATGTCATGATGCAGAACCACTTGGCCACAGTTTCAATAAACCAAGCAGTGGCCAGCGCGGACTTCTCTAGCAAGCCCTTCTCAACAAGGATGCGCAGTGCAGCCCCAGTATCCACATTGAAAAGACTGTAAGCAGGGCCCACCTTCATTTTTTCGTAATGACCAGGGTCAACACAAGTTTGTCTTAGGTGCAGAGCCAATTTGAAGTCTCCTTTACTGTCAATTTAAATGAGTTTTTTTATTGGTTCAATGAGAGCCGCATTTGTGGAGAGACCAGCTTTTACAACAATGTCATCAGGAAGATACAAAGTTTGGCCCCTGGTGAGGTGATTGCGCAGATTTTTCAACAGGTGAGGGGCATTTGCTATAAACCATAGCTTCCGATTCGTATCGCAGGGGTGTGTAGCACTGTAATTTGGCCGACTGTGCTTGCTGACATTGACAAGAAATAACCTCCATAGAGCCTGATTGCCACCACCCATATCTGAAACAACAGCATCTATTTTAAGGCCAATGTCTTCACATGCTCTTATCATTTTCAAGAGTTCTTGCTTGACAGTGAGTGCATGAAAACAATTTCCAGTCAAATGGTACCCAATGACCTGCTTCCACCTGGTAGTAACACCACCCAGCATAAATACGAGGCCATGGGTAGCCAAGGTGTCTGCAGGGAGGCTGCCATCTGCCAAGGGTATCGTAGGTCTGCCCAGTACTGCGTCAGCCGAACGATCATATATGAGGCCTGGGGTGATCTGCATCTCATCCATCATGAGGCACGCATGGCGCTCGTACTCTGTCATGCAGTTGACCTGCGCATGATTGGAAGATACGAATAACTAACATGAAAGTTTAGGCAGGCAATAAAAGAAGTGTTAGTGTTTAAGTACATTACGTCGCACAAGTAGGCTGCAATAAAGTGCCATAACGTAAACAGCCCCACAGTCAAAGGTAATCATTCCAATAACGTTAAGTTCACCTCCATAGAAGCACTTCCCAACCAAGCATCCATTTGAATGAGGTCGACCAATGTAATGAAATAACTGTTTATCATGACACAAACACACGAGCCGTTGAAAGATACCACTGAGAGCTTGCAATGTGCAAAAGCGTCGTCAGGAATATGCATGTTCAGTCAATCAGTGATGATTCGTGATTTTGTCGCAGTGCACCGATTCAGTACGCTTGCCGCAACCAGAACGTGCAGTGAACACTTTCGTTATTTTATATAACAACACACTTTATCTGGCCAATATCTCGCGCTACCTTACACTATAAACTATAAGCTTCCTATCGCAAAACTCTCTTGCATCCTGTCATGATCAGGCAACTATCAAATGGATGTTTGATGACTTAGATTGTATTGTAGTGTCCTGCAAGGCCTAGGTTGTTATTAGATGGGTTGCAGCTAAAATGACAACTCTATGCTATCTAACTTCCATTCAGGCAACCATGAAGTGCTAACCATTTTTCGGGAACACCGTGATTGTATTATGAGGCATGCCAGCATAAGTACAGAAAATAGAAACAAAAATTTAAAATATCGGAACTTCCATAGTGTTCCAAAATGGACAAATTCGTTACGATTACCTTAACAGCGAGAGAGTCCATAATGTCCACCAGCAGCCCTGGACGAAACTTGCAGTGCTCGATGTGACGTTGAAGTGTACGCTGTGAAGGCAATGGCTGGCCGAGCTCCTTGACCATTGACCATATCATAGCCCCTCGAGCCGCAGGATAGGCGAATCTTCAGTGCTTTGGTCAATGTTTCCTTGGACCACGCTGTGCCTCTTGGTGAACTATGCAAGCTGGTGAACTGGTCTTCATTTATGTACGAAGACAGGTGCAGCATAAGTTTCTTGTGCTCCCGCTCTTTCACCCTCGCCTTAGCCTTCGCAATAGTCAGCTGTCGTTCCAGAGCGTTTATTCTGGCCAACAGAGCTGCATGTGAGGCTGTACCTGCAAGTAAAGGATGTATACTTAAATAAAAAACAATGACATCTGGGTTATTCTACGTGAAACGTCCAAGTCATTTCAGCTACCATCTCAAATGTATTTAAAAAATAGTACAGATCTGTTGAACTGAAAACAGTCTGCTGCTAGATTCTCTTGGAGAAAATCTCTTTTTTTTTATCACGTGGGAATCCTTCCGAATTTTGGAGAGTATCGTCGGAGTGTTGTTTACGAAAATAATTTATGGCGAGAGTATTGCATCTCGTTGCAATACCAAATTTAGTCTAAATATTAAGGAAAGGCATTTGTGTAAAGCAGGGGTCTCAAACTCACCTCAGCCAGTGAGCTGAAGACACTACATTGAGTACTGCAAGGGCAGGTGCAGTGTGAACTAGTGGGCGAGGGGATCGGTGGGTGCGTTTGAACAATATGACAGCTATAGTTGCCTTTTGAAAGAGCGGTTTCCCCATATCACATATGTGTCTAATTTACGAAGGGTATTTAGAGTCAGGGTTCGAGAAATAACGATACCTATCTTCAGAATGACTGAAATCGACGCCAATTCTTGAATGGAGAGTTTTCGTTCCACGACCATGTTTCAACGTGTGATGGCCTAATGGACTGTGTCACGAAAAGAATGCTTGAGGCCGGCCATGTCTGTGTAGCTCATGAACACACTTATTAAGAAAATGAAAAAAAAAAAAAATACGGGACAAAGACAGTCCTCTGCAGGCTGCAGTCAGCATGTTTCAGACCCCTGGAGCAAGTTCGCAGCTTAACAATACATATTATTGCTTTTTTAACACGAAAGAGTTATATACCGGGGTCCACCAATCCAAGTTCAAGCAAAAGTTCAACATCGCTGCAGCGAAATTCAAGCACCCTTAGAGCAAATGCTTTGTCTTTATACAGCAATAAATAAGCATGGCGCCGATCAGCTTAGCTGTGTATCGAACATTGCGTAGATTAGTGCAAGCTTCGAGCCATTTTTTTAAAAAAGCTCTTCCATTCAGTTCCACACCGTCATAAAATTCGTGAAGCGTGTATACATCTGTAGCTTCATATAGACAGTGATAGCTAAAAACAATCAAGGGAATGAATAAATTTTATTTTCGCAACAAAACGTAAACAAATTCCTTGCGCATAAACTGCAGCGTTACAAGTTTCAAGTAATTGGAAGCTTCAAAATACCTGACGCTTCACCTACGCACATGCAGTGTGAATGCGCTTCCTTAAATAGCACTGCAAGTGCATCACATGGTATCATAAATGCGAGTAAGTTGCATAACTTAGGTCTGCTTCAAAAGACAACGGTGCGTCAGCTTAGCTGTACAGTGAAATTACAATAAAGTACTAGCAGCCGATACAGTTTAAGCAGGTCTACCTTTTTCAGTATTCTTTGCCTACAACCATTATGTGTGTAGCAACGAACTCCAAGTGGCCCAGCTGTGCATGCGCACAATCACTGCAGTGTTTTTTCTTTTTTGTTGTGCAACTACGCAAGCCAATTTCATGGTCATGAGGAGATACTTCCACTAAGATGATGCATTTAGGAACATACAAAATAAAGTTCTAATAAAAAAACTTAAAACCATGTAGTGCGAGTACACAACTCTTTTTTTATACAGCAAATTCAGTTGGTTTCTATTGCCCCATAGTAAAATTGTGCAATAGTGGGACTAAACTTCAAAAATTGTTTTCTCCACTAAAAGAACAATTACTTCGATTAAACTTGTTGTAATTCTCATTCGTATGCGATTTTCTGGTGATTGTTTCTTGGACCACCTTATAGGGTGCTACAGGTGTCTCAGCTTGGGCTGAAGTGGCGTTTTTGCCAACTTTAGGATTTTATTTTAGAGCGTAGGTGCCATGCACAGGGACAACAAAAATATGAGGAAACATTAAGTCTTATGAAGAGTTTGAATAAGTAATTTATGCATATTACTGGCAATCGTTTTTTGCAGAAAAGTTTCCAAAAACGCTACAATTTACTCAACTTTGCCTACGCGCCAGAAAATGATTAATTTAAAGCTACCATAAGGAACTGTCGTATATAGAAAGCACTATGCTCGAAAAACGCATAAAAGCAAGTGTTGAAAGAATGCACGACATGGTCGACTTATAGGAAATTTTTTTTCGTCCCACCATTTCGCGAATTTCGAATGGTGGTCACGTGCGCAAAAAAAATTTGCTGCTCAAAATATTTTGGAAAAATGCTGTAGAAGTAATGTCTATATTTGTTTAATTTTCTCAGATTTTTTAATAGAAACTGATTTTTGGCGAGCGCCACGATTTGGACAGTCGGCGTGGGATGACCCTTGTAATAGTTGATTGTTTAAAAAAAAGCAAAGTTCACGCAATCAACATGTGCCTTCTTACCCGATATGTTGCACGCAAAACTCCTTTGCACAATGTCCAGTGTACCTCGGCGAACCACTTCGGCTTCACTCGAAACGTGAGGTACATTCTCTGGAGACATTTCTACAAAATAGAAGAAAGACAGCTCTGTTAATATACTGCATTACTTCCACGTCTGTAACATGAGCGGATACTTCCACTGACATGAAGCATCTGCGAACTTAAAATCCAACCCTGATAATACAGGGCATCTATTTCACTAACAAGAACAGTTCATTGTTCAAAAAAAGCAAGGTGTATGCAATCAACATCATAGCTAGGCATACTCACTCATGAGTGCACTCACTCACACTCATTTGAAACGCGTGAGTTTTAAGTATGAGTGAACACTCATGAATGTGAGCAGGCGTGAATCTCAACGCGAGTGAGAAGAGGTGTGTGCGAGTAGGTGTATAAACGTGAGAGAGTACATATGAGCTAGAAGTAATGTGTGAGCGTGAGTGAGTACGAATAACTACGAGTACACGTGAATATGACCGTGAGTAAGGGCCTATGAGGGCGAGTAAACGTGAGAACCAATTTGAGTGAGTTCCTGCGAGCCTGAGAGAGTGAGCTGATGTATGAACGCGAGTTTGAGTTTGAGCGCCTTGAATCGGGCTGTTTGGTACATACTGATGATATAGTGCAGATGATATACAGGAGATATACGCAGATGATATAGTGCTAATGGCCAACAACAAGGAAGATTTGCAGAGATTGATGGACATCTGCGGTAATGAGGGAGATATGTTAGATTTTAGATTCAGTAAGGAAAAATCAGCAGTCATGATTTTCAATGACAACGAAGGTAGTGAGCTTAGAATACAGGAGGTCACGCTAGAGATAACAGATAAATAAAAATATCTGGCGTATGGATAAGCAATGGGACCGAGTACCTGAGGGAACACGAAATATACGTGACGACTAAAGGTAACAGGAATGCAGCAGTGATGAAAAATAGGGCACTGTGGAATTACAATAGGTATGATGTTGTGAGAGGAATATGGAAAGGTGTCATGGTTCCTGGGCTGACGTTCGGCAATGAGGTCTTGTGCATGAGATCAGAAGTTCAAGCAAGATTAGAAATTAAGCAACGTGGAATAGGTAGGCTTGCTTTAGAAGCTCACGGGAATACACCAATTAAGGGAGTACAAGGTGATATGGGATGGACATCATTTGAGAGCAGGGAAGCTAGCAGCAAGATAAAATTTGAGAAGCGATTGAGAGAAATGAAGGAGGACCGTTGGGCTAGGAAGGTTTTCAGCTACTTGTACATAAAGAATGTCGATACAAAATGGAGGAAGCGAACCCGGAAGTTGACTGGTAAATACTTAGAAAACAGTAGGTGGCCAAACCAAAAAGAACTATCGGTTAAGAAGAAAGCGAAGGAAACGGAAACTGACATGTGGAAAATGGGCATGATTAAGAAGTCCGAACTAGAGATCTATCGAACTTTTAAGCAGGAAATAGCCAAGGAAAGGATCTATGATAATACTCGGGGTAGTTCTCTACTGTTTGAGGCAAGGACGGGAGTACTGCGAACCAAGACATAGTATGCAGTGCGTGTGGAGAGGAAGAAGAAACTGCCGAACACTTGATAATGTTCTGTAAAGGGCTTCACCATATAGTTCAGGATGATGGCGCAGAGTTTTTCAAAGCACTGGGGTTTAGGGACCGGGAGGGGAAAATAGACTTTAAGCAAGTAGACTTAACTGGAAGGAGGTTATCTGATTGGTGGCTAAAGTCAAGGCACGTGTGAAAATTAAACTCTTCACTGCAAAGTACGAATCCTCAAACTCACTTTTTAAAGAAAAAATAAATAAATATAGTTTTGAGTTCATTAGGTATTACGGCTTGGTGGCGCTAGCCACCGCCCGATCTAAAGGGTACAGCCATATCCATCCATCCATCCAGCGGTCGCTGTGGTGGCGTGCACTCCACGTGAGCGAGATGCGTGCACTGTCTTGTTAAGTGGCCGGATAATCGGAACGCAACGATGAGCGAGCCTCCTGACCGACAGAAGGTGATCGAAAAGTACCTCCAAGGATTACGTCATGACGACGGCTACTCTCACGGCTACCTGAAGTCAGACGAAGAGCTAAAGCTTTTTGAGAGGTCCCTGGCTGCCGTCAACGAGAGGTATGCTGTGCGGACATCGAGACCTGAGCAAGTCGTCTTGCTTCTTAATGTATTGATCTGCGCGTAGATCTAGCATTGAAACACGCAGTAGTAATTTAAACCAGCTAGGGACACGGCAGGACAGGCTTCTTCTCAGTTGCGGTTATTGGTTTTCGCCTTTTTGAAGTTAGGGTTAGGTATCATTGTTTTCGTTACCGGTTCACAGTTCCCCTGGAACCGATTTATTTCGGTGCGAGTGAAGTATTGTTCGGATTACCGGGACATGACCCGATCTTCATAGATTCTATAAACATTATTGGAGCTGTAATTGGCACCTTGTTTGTGTCTGCGTGTTTCTTTGGTCCCCGTTGCTTAGCGCCCCAAATTATTCAGTTGTAACTGAACTGTATTTTTTCGGTTTTAGTCATGATTAGCACCGTGCTAGCAAGCTAATTGTGACACGGCCGTGAGTGCCATCCGTGGTCCTCCAGGAAGTGTGAATTAGACGTCTAGAGCAAGGCGGCCCTGATGTTGAACGCTGTATATGAGAAGCTGAAGGGTCAGGGTCGAGATTTTTTGCCCAATTATATTAAAATCCCAAGGCCCAACCAAACTGTAACGTGTTGATGCTGCTTGTAAGTTGTAACTTAAAAACCACATAAAAAGTCTGGGTAATTATTAATAATAATAATGATAATTATATTTATTATTCTGGTTGACGAAAGCCAGAATTTCTTACCAATGGCAGCGCATATTAGTTTTTTGGTAGTGTCTATTCTCCCGGCAACCGGGATAATTGTTCAAAAAAATTTCTCCCGGCAGTAGCCTCCCATTGGCTCTCACATGTCACGTGACTAACTGCCGGGGAGAACACCCCACCACCCGTTCTGGGACCACCTGAGACCGGACAGACGAAGCCTTGCGTGCGTGACGAGCCCATTCGTACACGTGTCTCCGCTCGCAACACGTGCAACGTGTGTTGCTGCTTCGTTGCCGTATTTATTTTGCTCGTGGTGTCTGTTATTTATTACGAGACATCAGACCATCGAGTGTTTTACTAATGCAAGAGGCTGAGGACGGCAAAGTGCAGCTTGCGGTCGGTGATCGCTTCGGCACTTTTGAAGACCTCGAAGCGTGTATCTCCCGCTTCAGTGCAGAAAACTGCGTGCAGTTATGGAAACGGGACGCAAGGACCATTGCGGCGGCGAAAAACCGCGTGGGGAAACTGGCCAGCAAGATGTCGGAGTCACTGAAGTATTACCAGCTTCGATACTGCTGTATCCATGGCGGCGCGAAGTTTATCAGCACCAACAAAGGCGCGCGGAAATCATCGTAAGTAGTTTTATGCGGCTATGCGTGTGCTCTTCATTTGCATATTGGGTTGAGTTACTGAACTGTGCTGCACTAGTATGTGGTTCACCTTTTCCGGCACCTTCTACGCCGTGGTGCCGGCCGGCATGGTGCAGCCGCGCGTGCCGCTGAGCAGACGAGGTTGCACTTAGGCGTAACTTAAGCAGCGTGTTTTGCCCAGATATTTGCACCTCATAATCTGTGCACATGTACGGTTTGCCATCGGTGGGTGTTAGTTGAATGAATGGAGTAATTAAGCAAACAAAAATACGGCCTGCACCGTCTCGGCATCTTGTCATTCGTTTGGGGTGGCGCATTGTGCCTGCACCCCTGAACTCGCGTTGCACATTTTCTCAACTCAACTTCTCGTGCACAGCCGTGAAGCGGTTCCGATCGCTGCAGGTGATTCGAACGGACCTCTAGTATTTGCGAACCGTCTACCACTTAAAAAAAGCCAAAACCTCATATACGCAAAAATGCACACGACGCGACGTAGAACGGCTTCGCGCAAGTGCTCGCTTGCATACGCAAATTGCAAACCCGGCGAGTCATCACTGTTGCTGGCATGAGAGCGTCTTCCCGTAACAAAAGTGGCACGTCGTTAAACTGTTAAACTTTCCTATTCATGAGCTGCTATTGGAATTTCGTCCTTGTAATGCATATACTATTTCTATTTTCTTTCCCCCATTCTTTTTAGGACATTCAAACGGGACTGCAGCTTCAATATCTACATTGCTGCGGAGAAGGAAGGAAAGTTCCTGGAAGTGAGGTCACTCGACTTGACACACAATCATCCCGTTGACCAGGAACTTTTTCGGCATTTACCTCAACAGAGAAGGTTGGCACCAGAGCTTCAAAACAAGGCTCGTGAGCTGATGAAAATGAAGGCCAACAAGATGATGGTGAGAGAACAAATGGAGAAGGAGAGTGGTAGTGCTGTTCTTCTCAAGGACTTGTCAAATATTGCAGCCAAACATAGACTGTTGCAACCAAGGAATGATTTGCCCGAAGTTGTACGCATGCTTCAAGAGAAGCACAACGCAACAGTACGTTTGCTTACAGATGAAAACCGTGAGCTCCAGGCTGTCTACTTTCAAGATGATGTGATGAAGAAATCATTTCAATGTTGGCCTGAAGTCATCTTTATCGACGCTACGTACAAGTTGTTAGAGACAAGAATGTCTTGCTTTCTTGTCATCATTGAGAATGGTAATGGAGAGAGTGAAATTGTCGCTGTTGGGTTGTTTTCGACTGAAGATGCCGACACGCTTCGCTGGTTTTTCGAAGAGTTCAAAGATTTGAATCCCAGTTGGAACTCAGTGAGGGTGACCATGGCGGACAAAGATGTGAAGGAACGACCGGTAATAAAAGAACTATTTCCATCCTCAGCACTCCATATATGTGCTTTCCATGTCCTGCAAGCATTCCGCAGAGAAGTAAGTGTGCAAAAATTGGGAATCACAAAAGCTGAACAAGACACTGCTCTGGACTTATTGCAGCAAATGGTCTATGCAAAAAATGAAGACCAATATGATGAGCTTTTTGCCTTGCTGCAGCAAACAGCAGCAAAGAAAGGTAGTGGAATATTTCACTACCAACTGGCATGCCATTCATACAGAATGGACAATGGGATCAAAGTGGTCGTGCGGCAACTTTTTCAACTCCACGAACAACCGAGCAGAGTGCTTAAACTCTAAGCTAAAGCAGATTGTAGAGCGCTTTAGTTCTCTGGAATTGTTTGTTGAGCGATTCTTCGCCTTGATCAACACTCAGCGAAATGAGAAAGCTCACAAAGCAGCTGTTATGCTGCAAAAGAAGATAGTAATACCAAATGGCGATGAAGCAGCCAAATTGTACGCCACCCTGCTGACTCCCTATGCATTTCGTCATTTAAATGAAGAGCTACAAGCTTCCATGACTGCGACAGAAAAAATCAATTCTGCTATTACTGATGGCAAGATTTGTACAACTGAAGATTGTTCGTGTGCCTTCAGGAAATCAATGCTGTTGCCCTGTCGACACATTTTCGTTGTACGAACGGCATCCAACATGCCCAAGTACGATAAAGGACTATGTGCTGAGCGCTGGTTTTTAGATACTTATGTAGCCAATATCCAACTAAGAAAGAGTGATATGTGCAGTGACGTAGAGCATGTGCAAGTAAGCACTCACAGCAATGAAAAAAAATTGTCAGCACATCAAAAGTTCAAAAAAGCAGCTGGCGTTGCATCGAAGCTTGCAAGTATGGCATCAGAATGCTCCACGGAAATGTTCAAGGAGAGGCTGGCTCTCCTAGAGACAATTCTCGACCATTGGAGAAATGGCTCTAAAGTTCATGTTACTGCACATGAGCCTGCACATCACTTGACAGCTGCAGTTGCAGCTGAAAGTGCAAACTCGGAAGGTTTTCCGGGGTCTGTTGTGGATGTACAGAGCAATGCTGATCAGAATTTACTGTGCAGAGCCTCGGAAGAGGCGAAACATCACCAGGAGCTCTCGGAAGCAAGCACTAAAGTCAGCGAGCATTCAAGCAGCCAACACTGCAATAGACAAGATGAAGCCAGCACAGATGAGAATTCTTTGTCGCAGCCTTCTGACCTTCAAAATATCAAAGTGCCAGTTGCTATGAGAAAATGTGGTCGTCCTAAAGGTCATGTGCTAACAGTTATTGGCCTTCCAAAAAAACGCAAGAGAACGGCAAGTCTGGGACCATTCTCTGAGCTTACAATGAGAGAGAAAAAGCTAGCCATGCTCAGTTGGCTGGTGGGGAAGCGGCAAGCATCAGATGCTATCAAAGGCAAACTACTTGACGAAGAATCTGTGGAAGCAAGGCCTGAAGACATACACGACGGCATTCGAGATGAAATGGTTGACATTAACCTAGTACGGCGTTTTTTCATAGATGATGCTTGGAAAGCTGTGCAAATGGTCCTTAGTGTAAAAAAGGACGAGGAGTGGAAGTGCACAAAATGCAAAACAAAACTAGATGACCATGATGCAGTATCGTGTGACTGGTGCTTATTATGGTACCACCTTCCATGTGTTGGTGTAAAACAGAAACCCAAGACAAAACTGTGGAAATGTGGCTCGTGTACAACCACTGCTACAGCGCAGTAGCATGTTGCCTTTGTGAAAAAAGCAGCACCTCCATATACAGGGTGTCGCACATAACTTGAGCCAAGAATTCGAAAGTGAAAGGCACTTAGGAGGCGAATTGAACCTAACGCATACTACTCGCACTAGCCTGTAGATATTCACAAGCTAGTGAGTACCTACAGGCTAGACCCCCTGATTAAAAAAAGCCCGTGAAATGTGAAAAGGAGCCGTGTGACGGACTGCGAGCGCACTGCTATAGTGCTGCTATAGGCTTTCTTTACAACATGGAAAAAATAACAGCACTAGATGTTTCGTACAGGAAACAATTTAAACGGTAGTTTCTGAAACATGTCAGTGTTCATATTTTGGGTTTCCAGCCCATAAATATTAAAATAAATAATTAAGAATGATTAGTTAATTAGTATGGGGAGAAAAACTAGCCAGCCAGAGTCTCTATAGGCTAGTGCGAGTAGTACGCGTTTGGTTCAATTCACCACTGAAGTCTCTCTCATTTTCAAATTATTGGCTCAAGTTATGTGGGACACCCTGTATAGTATAATAGAATTACGGCATTGTGCAATAAAATATTTTTCTACACTTTTCTATTTTCTAATCTCACCTACAGTATTGGCTGGCCGTGAGAGGCAAAGTTGGAATTACATATGAGTTGGCTTTTGTGCTCCTGTAGAAATTCAATTAACAGTGCTCTCAACTTTCAAAAAAAGGTAGTAGTACTTGCTAACATTGGGATAGTAATGGTTTGCCACATGTGTTGCAATCCAGGTAGTTTGTGCAGTTAGCAATGTTGGGGGTGGTAACTCTTACTACCTTTGCCTTTATTAACGGCATTTAGTAACTGTTCCTACCCTAGCTATTACTAATTACTATCATAGGTAGCATCTTCTAGAGATTTTAAGAAGAAGAAAGGTAGTAACTGATAGTACCCTGTCCATTTTGCCACATCATTTCACCATTGATAACACTGGTCAATTTATGTCTCATTACTATGCAACTTCCAGTAATTTTGCGTTGTGTCACCATCAACACGAAGATTACATGGTTGTAAAAAGTACACTAATGCTACAGTACTAAGTAAATGACTCGCGCGGTCTATATAGCCCCTACTTTAGGATGCATGTCTGGCACAGGTCGGCACTTGTCTCGGGATGAATTATAAAAAATGCCAGCCTAGAGCACTATATCATACTAACTGTTTGTGTTTGGGTCAGCCGTGCTTATAAAAAATTATGTCGTTTCTATTTCATATAAAAGTGAAAGTTATATCTACAGCAGCCGAAACTAGGTACCAACTCATTAACACAGTCTCAGTGCAATTTAATGGTTCACTGTGCCAATATATCCGCTGTTAGAAAGTAATAGTTTCTGAGATTTTATGTGCCAAAATCATAATAATATGAGACACGCCGTAATGAGGGATTCTGCATTAATTTTGACCATCTGGTTCATTTCTATCTGCCTGTCATATTAGTTTATTATAATTGTGTATTACAATGCGTGCAGCACTTGCTTATGGGTCTTTAACTTGAACCTCTTCTTTGTGATAATAGCTGAATGATGCTTAGATATCTCTATTGCGCAACTTTTTTTTTTTATCTAATGCATCATGCAAGTGACCTTTTATTTTTTTATGTTACCAGCCCACTGCACGTGTAATTACTGCCTTGCACAAGCGCCGAGAGAATTCCCGGGAGCAGTCCAGACTATTTCGAGATCAACTGTTGGGCTTGAGTGCGCAAATGCAACAGTTAAGTTTCACTGCTCGAATAAATGCGGCCACCAGCGATAACGCTCAGGTCGCGGGTTCGTATTCCGGCTGTGGCGGCTGCATTTCCGATGAAGGCGGAAATGTAGGCCTGTGTGCTCAGATTTGGGTGCACGGTAAAGAACCCCAGGTGGTCGAAATTTCCGGAGCTCTCCACTACGGCGTCTCTCATAATCATATGGTGGTTTTGGGACGTTAAACCCCACATATCAATCCGTTTAAAGATGAAACGTTGAGACGATTCGTCTTGTATAAGATACAATATGAGTTACTTATTATTTTAATTTGCATAGTTCATGGCCGAATTGCAAAAATTTAGAAGCAACATCAGTTACTACTTATTTCATTCCAATTACTGGGTACTAATGCAGGTAGTAAACAAGTAGTAAACAGTTTGTAACGGTTGCAGCTAGTAACTATTTACTAGCATACGTAGTAAACAGGTTGCAAAAGGTTAGTAATGCTTCAAGAAAAGTAGTAAACTTTGCAGTTACTACTTATTTGCTTGCAGACGCTAACTTTTTACTCACTTTTTTAAGAGTGTATAGGGAGTGCATGTTCGGCTGCCGTTAGAATGCTGACAAATTTTACGCTGCCGGGAGAACTGCCAGGAGATTTGTCCCGGCAGTTACTCACCTGACATACGAGAGCCAGTGGGAGGAGACTGCCGGGTGAAATTTCTTTGAATAATTCTCCCGGCAACCGGAAGAATTCTTCAAATTTCTCCCGGCAGTCGCCTCCCATTGGCTTTTATATGTCAGGTGACTAACTGCCGGGAGAAATTTTTTTCAATAATTCTCCCGGTTGCCGGGAAAATAATACAAAAAATTTTTCCCGGCAGTTAGTCACGTGACATGTGAGAGCCAATGGAAGGCGACTGCCGGGAGAAATTTTTTTGAACAATTATCCCGGTTGCCGGGAGAATAGACACACCCTAGTTTTTTTGCTGCCATTACACAAAAACTAAAACAAGATTTGATATTGCCCTCTGCCATGCATAAAACTAGGTGGTTTCATTAAATCATCTTTATTGTTCATTTTCAGCCAATGTCGTCTTCTCTATGATCCACTGCGGATCTCGATTCTCTCTGGACAATGTGCCGTTCCGAGTTGTCAAGGAAACCGTCAAAGTGTGCATATTTGGAACGGAGTACTACAAGAAAACTCAGGAGAAAAAAAAAAAAAAGAACAGGTATGTTACATGGTGATGCAGTTCCAAAAGTTTCAATCTCATGCACATATCCAGCAGTCATCCAGTTCAAAGATTGTGTGTAGGCAGTGTAAAGAAGATTTACTTTAAGTTACTACAAGTTTACACGAGAAATAAATATTGTTAACTTCATTTACAGAGTTCACGTACCACTGACTGGCAGAAGGAGGTGTACGAGAAGAAGCGGGTGAACCTCCAAGGCACAAAGAAGAAGGGGTGCGCAGCAACAATGAATTTGAAGTGGATTGAGTTGTACCCAGATTTCCAGGTATGTAATGTACAATGACAAGTGAAAAATAATTCCAGATTAATTTCTGGGGACCTTTATCATGTCATTTATGATTGTGCAATCCGACACAACACAGTTGGTTGACGATCATTATGGTTTCAAGCAGTGCAACAAGATGAGGGCAAAGTCAAGATGAGACAGAAGACAGCGCTCTATATTTCCACCATTGCCAGTATGTATACACGTGGGAAATAGCAAGATAAACAGAGTGTGAAAGATAAAATGAGCACAACGCATACAGTCTCGGCATGTAAGCCAAGACTGTATGTGTTTTGTGCTTTGCACTCTTATTTTGCTATTTCCCACATGTATACATACTAGCAATAGTGGAAATATACTTCCAGCTATTAGTTCAGCGCTGTCTTATGTCTCATCTTGACTTCGCCCTCATCTTGTCGCACTGTTTCAAACCATAAAATATGATCTGTGTACTTAACAGTGCCTGCTTTCTAGGTGGATGTGCCCCAGCCATGCGGCCAGACAAGAGAGGGTCGTCTGAAAGCCAACAAGGCCAAGGAGCTGCAGGAGGCACTTGACGCAGAGCAGCAGACTGTGGCCAAAGACACGCGGGTATATGTTAGGATTGCCGACTGCAGTTCCCATCAAAACCATGGTTTCGAGGACATGGAAGCTTTCAGCCAAAACATGGACAAGAGTGTTGCTCAGCGAATTCAGATGTTGGCAGGAGAAGGCATTACTTCTGTATCAGATGTGAAAAAGTGCCTTCACTATTATGTGCACGACATACTTTTTGCGAACAAGGAGAAGCCTGATAGCAGCTGCAGAGCCTTTTTCCCAACACATCGTGACATCAGCAACCAGATCCAAGCTGTGCTTAAGAAAGACCGCTTCAGCACAGTTGATCAAGAGAATGCTAGAATCCTAATTGAAAAGATCAGGGGTGAGCAACCCGAATCCTCTGTTGTCTATCGGCCGTATACAGCACGCAGCTTCGTGGGTAGCAGCGACTCGGACAACGTGGAAGAGGGCGTTGCCAGCGAGTGTGAAGACACGTTGCTGTTTTGCTTCCAAACAAAATTCATGAGGAGCATGCTTAAAAAGTACGGAGGCTCAGTAGTTTGCCTGGACGCAACGCACAAGACGAGTGACTATGCCCTACCACTTTTCTTGCTTGTCGTGAAAACACCGTCGGGATACACACCAGCTGGTGTGTTTATCATACAGTTCGAGACGGCCCACTGTATCGCTGAGGCTTTAGACGTTTTCAAGCAGTGGTGTGACAACTGGTCCCCACAATACTGGATGGTGGATTATAGCAAGGCAGAAATAAGTGCCATCAAGCAAGTGTTTCCAGGGAGTCAAATCTCCATCTGTGACTTCCATAGACTACAGGCATGGCAGAGGTGGCTGTGCAGAAAGGAAAACAACATATCCGATCCAGATGAGGCCCTGAGACTCATGAAACACGTAGCCAGTGCTTCAAATCAGCATGACTTTGACAAGGCGGTTGAAGTCCTTGTTGACTCTGAGTATTGGAAAAACGAAAGATTCCGCAGTTACTTTGAAGAAGTGTGGCTGTCAGTAAAGGAGCTGTGGGTCATGTCTTACAGGCTGGAGTTTGACGTGTTGACCACAAATAACGGCATTGAGGCCCAAAACCGCGTGTTGAAGGCACAGTACGTGAAAAGTTCCAGCGGGAAACGGTCGTTAACATTCCTGATCATGACTGTCGTTCATGGCTACCTTCCCGACAAATAAGCGAAATTCCATGAGGCAGCAAGGAGGCAGTCATCAGCGTACAGACAGTACAGTAATAATATTCCTGCATACCTGCACAACCGGCCTCATGGGTTCGTTAAGCATATGCTGAGACGGCTCGTAATGCAGAGGAATACACCCCCACAGACATGGAAGAGCTCCCCGTTGAAGGTGTGTTTACGGTTCATTCTGAAAGAAGTGATGATGATCTGTACACTGTCGACTTCACCAAGCCATCGTGTACCTGCCCTGATTTCAGGAAGCACAAGTACCCATGCAAGCACTTTTGTGTTGTTTTTAAGTACAGCGACAGGTGAGGCTTTTTCTCTCTTCCGCAGAGTTACCTCAATGGACCGCAAATTACTCTTGGAAGCTGTCCAGAATCCGAAACAAGTTCCGAGATTCCCCTTGTCAATCAGCCCAGCCCATCTGAAGTGCCTTCACAGGATCTTGGTATAGCAGCATCAGAGTCAGACATTCCCTTTGTCAATGAGACCAGCTTTTGTGAAGTGCCTTTACAGCCTGGGGTTGCTATGCTTCCTGGGACAGCAGCCCCCTCAGTGTCGGAGCTACACAAAAGTATAACCGAGGAATTGGAAAAGTGCAGTTCCCTTCCTTACTGCTGCCATGACGTTCAAACACTGGTGGAGGCTAGGGGCTTATTGCAAGCCACCTTCCGTAAGCTGGCTGAATCTGTGCCACAGAGTTCTGGCCTTCACATTCGGGGCTCACCGACAAAAGGATGCTCGTCTCTGAAGCCTCTTCCGAAAAGAAGACGCCTATAGTGTGCTGTCACTCTGCCATTGACTGGAGCTTCGACTGCTAGGAAAGGATTGGGGGAAACGGTAGAGATGGACCACTCGGTGATTTTTTTTTCATTCTTTTTTAAAAAATTTCAATTGTTGCAAAACTCAATTTATTTTATCATTCATAACTTTGGCCTAAACACAGTGTTCGAACATCTTTGTGAATAATTTTTAGAATGTTTAGAGCTTTTAAGATTAATATGGTATGTTTTATACTAGACTTCATTATAGTCATGCAATTGTGACATTGGCAACGACTGTGTATAAATGCAGCCGTAATTTTTTGTGTTGGTGATACTCTCAATTCAAAGAGTGTGTGAAGGTATGTTTTTAGGCTTCTGCTTTCAATCTATGTGTATAAAACTGTTTGTAAAGTTGCATTCTTTCTGTACTTGCTACGGGCGTGCTTGCTTTTATACTTTCTTTTTGACATTTTAATATAGTACCTGTTGTATGTGAAAGCATGTTAGTACATTTTTTCGGGTGGTCATTTCAAGATGTATTCGTAGCGTGCTTGTAATATCCATAGACTGTAAATAAACCAAATGTGAGAGAATGCATAATGTGCACAAAAAGTTTACTGTGAAAATGTGAAGTATGGTTACCTACACAGCAGAGCAATTTCATCAAGACTGCTGCAACAGCTGTGACCGGTTGATGTAGAGGCTGAGCAAACAAACTGGCCTTTTTTTTGGGGGCAACTATGGAAACTACCCCCTCAGTGAAACGCTTTAGGTATACATATTGATACTGCAAAGGAAAGTTTGACATCCACCTAAATGTGGATGTCAAACTTTCCTTTGCAGAATCTTACTCCACCTTGGGGGTTTCCCTTAAATCTGGTCCATATTGATACTACTGACTTGGGCGAGCTGCTTAATTATTCAATCTGGAAACTTTATAAATGGCACCATATGGGGATGGGGATATAAAAAGGGGTTGCATAAGGAACACGAATGCACAAAAAAATATTACTGGAAGGTGATCGTCTCAACTTAGCATTTATCAGCTAGTATTTTTGAACTAAAGTCTTTAACATGTACATTTAGTATCGTGGAACTAGAAATAGTCAACGTAGAGCTGCCTAGTTTTTGCCCGTCATGTATCCAAAACATGCCATCCAATGTATGGTGCATACTACATAGCCTTTCCATGCAAAGGAGAGAAGCCTCATGAACCCTTTTCTTTGTGCCTTGGAGGTTTGTTCACTTTTTCCGTACACTCCTTCGGCCAATCAGCGGTACTTGCATGCTGTAAATGAAATAAAGAATATTTATTTCTGGTGTTTTTGCATGTTAACAGACACACAGGTTGGCTTTGATAAGTGGAAAAAAAAACAAGCCCATGTTCTTATAGTTCACACCAGGGATGTAGCCATGATTTTCTTTCGCTCGCAACTACTGATGGTGGGAAGGCATGGCAAAACGTCAAAGGTGGGAGAGGAGGTAGAAGAGGTCCCAGCAAAACTGAACATTTCGGTGTGCAGCAACCCCCGGCTATGTGTCTCGTTCACAGTCATAATGCTCTTGGGCTTTTCCTAAATGTATTCATTGGCTAGAAATACCCTAAGGGCCCCAAAAGGGGCATATGTATAAGGGAAAATACGTTAAATACAGCTGCCGCAAAGTACGCACCTTACACTGCCTGCACACAATCTTTGAACTGAAAGGCTACTGCATATCTGAATGAGATTGAAACGTTTGCAAGTGCATCACGATGTAACATATTTGGTCTTCTTTTTCTCCTGTGTCTTCTGCTAGTATTCCATTCCAGATACGCATACTTTGACAGTTCCCTTGATAACTGGAAACTGCACATTGTCCAGAGGGATTCGAGATCCGCAGTGGATCACGGAGAAGACGACATTGGCTGAAAATAAACAATAAAGAGGATTTAATGAAGGCACCTAGTTTTATGCATGGCAGAGGGCAATATAAAATCTCGTTTTAGTTTTTGTGTGATGGCAGCAAAAAAACTTTATGCGCTGCCTCTGGCAAGAAATTCTGGCTGGCTTTTGTCAACCAGAATAATAAATATAATTATCATTAATACTTACCCAGACTTTTTTCGTATGGCATTTAAGTTATAGCTTACAAGCAGCACCAACACATTACAGTTTTGTTGGCCCTTGGGTTTTTAATACAACACTACAAAAAGCTCGACGCTGACGCTTCAGCTTCTCATATGAGTTCAACATCGGGCCTGCCTCGCTCTAACGTGTAATTCACACTTTTAGCAAGACCAGGGATGGCACATACGGATGTGTCACGAATAACCCAACCACAATTCGTGTCTCGTGTTGCGCACGATTGCTTTTTCGGTGTTTAAAATAACAAATGTTAATTCTGAAACGCACAAATGGAAACAAAATAAACGCCCAAGCGCAGCTCTGCCTTGAATTCAAGGCAATTATCTAAAGAGCACAGGAGCAGAATAGATAACATATGTGACCCTATGGCAGACCTTTAATTTTTTTTAAAGTCATGATTAGCTTGCATGCGCTGTTCTAATCATGACTGAAGCCCGAAACTAAAACAGTTCACTTCCAATAACGTTTCTTAAAATTTCTGAAGATCGGGTCATGTCCCGGACCCGGTACTCCACTCAAACCGAAATGAATCGGTGCCAGGGAAACTGGACAGGCAACCAGAACAATGATAACCCGACCTTTAAAAAGGTGAAAACCAATCAATTGTCTAGTGTTGCACTAACCGCAACTGCAAACAAGCCTGTCCTGCCGTGTTGAGTCCCTTCATCTACGTGTTTCAATGCTAGATCTACGCCCAGAGCAAAACATTAAGAAGCAATCGAGACATTCTTATATGTAGGTTTCTTGATGTCCGCACAGCATACCTCCCGTTGACAACAGCCAAGGACCTCTCAACAGCTTAATATGACAAGACAGCGCACGCCGCCACAGAACAGGGAGACGCCGCGCACAGCATACAGCCACAGAACAGCACACAGCGAACCAAGTCTAGGTGGTGTTGAGCGAACGCGCTGCCAAACAGAGAGGGAGGGAGAGAGAGAAAAAAAAAAAAGACATGGTGGCTACGTCATCGCGGCGAGGCCCCGCCCTGCACGGATTTGTTGTGAGAACAGTCGCACCCGGTGAAAATAGCGCCAACGCTATTTTCACCCAACTTGGCTTGGATCCGTACAAAGCTATGGCTCTTGGAGAATGGTGGTCACGCAACCTGAGGTTTTCTGCAGCCACGGAGGAAGGAAAGGCACGGAGGAAGGAAAGGTCCGTGAAGAAAGGTCTGCAGCGTTAAATCTGGTCATATTTTCCTTGCGTGTAGCGTGCTGTGGCTTTTGGGTAACCTGGGGTCAGGCAACCTCAGGTTTTCTCGGCGTGTGGCGTGTGTGCATTCGTGCGTGCGTGGGACGAGCTGTACGCGATCGTGAGCTGTACACATTTGTGTTGTGCTGGATGTGTGCTGATTGCGCTGTCTTTGTGGTGGACATGAGCGCTGCGATTGTGCTTATCGTTGACCATGTGCTTGACGAACGCGGATGGTGTTTGCAGCGCTTGAACTTGCACTGTAGTCCCTTGCACTAGAGACCTTACTTGCACTGTCACTGCGTGCTTCAGCGTAGTTTTTGTGATTGCTAATATTTGATTTTTTTGTGTGTGTGAGGTGGCACCGTTCGTTGTACAAATTTTACTGAGCGTGAAAGTATGTTTTTCACTGTGCTTGATCGGCAACTTGCTTTGACTGTTTTGCCGCTTGCTCATTGAATGTGTCAATTAATGAGTGGCATTACTGCTGTTTTATCGGTCAGCGAGGCCGATTTTCTCTGTCGGTTAAGCCATGAAAGTGTTACGTTATGTAATTTGCACGATCGTGCACAAATGCAGAAGTGAGTCGTTCATGGTTGAGAAACACGAATCAAATTGAAAGAGCCTGTATGGCACTACTCAAGCCTCATGCAGCTGCACAATCGATAGTTGTGCATAAACAAGTGCTCGACGCCTTAGTATGTTGTACGTGTGGTTTGCACCTGGTAGGTTTCCCTGCCCACGCGTGCCTCATTTTCCGGCGCGAAATGGCACCCTTGAAAGCAAGTAACAAACTAGTATCAATCTCTTTTGAAGATTAAAAAAACCAAATAGACACCTGTTTTCTTTTTTCTGTAATTGAAAAGTTAGCGAACTCCTAGGGAAAAAAAAAAAAAAAAAAGCTTCGTCCATGTAGGAGAACCGCGAAGAAAAAAAAGCACTGAAAAAGTGGTGACTTCTTTTAATGTATAAAAATGTTGTACATTAACACAATTTACCATTTGAGACTTACGTGTATCATTGAAGGAAGATGACTGTGGTGTATTTAGCAAAACGGATGAATGTTGTACGCACAGATGTATGTTCAACAGTCACATATGTTTTATATAACCAGTTGTTTACATTTGCACAATGATGCCAGCAGCAACATGAGTGCTAGCAACATCAGACGTGGTAAGCTGATATGTAGTGCTTGTGTTCTCAGGGATGGTAGCCCCGAACACTGCTACATAAATCTACCAAAGTGCATGGCGCTTAACTACAATTGACGTGAACTGGTCGCGACGGTTGCATCATAGGAGTGCATCTATAATTTTTATAAAATTCTATAGTTAGCATGCAATTGACATTGTGCCTGAGTGGTGTCTATTTCCACAGCAGTGTTGAGACCTGGTGTGGCTATGTGGTAAAATACTTGATTGCTACGCAGAATGTTTGGTTTTCATTCCTGCTGGGGCCCTGATATATATTCATTACATTTATAAGGTCAACACTGACTTTTTCCTGGATGTTGTCATGTTAAAATTACCAATATTATTTCTTGAGTAGACAAACTGTCAATCACCTGGGGCACATAACCGCATACCTGCCAGATGTATGCAACTCATCTAGAAGAAAGGGTTTTACAACATACGCAATGGGGTTGCGGCATTATTCATGACCTGATGGGCAATTGTATTGGTCAAATGTTTTTACCCTCCCAAACGTTTACCCAAAGCTAAGGGTGTGATCACGAGAGCGACCAGATGTAGCGGCTAGATAAATTGACCATTGAAGTCAATTTCTCCTTCCTAGTCAATTGAACGCTGCATGGTGGAAATTTTTTGTTATGAGCATGATGTAGCTAAACACTCAATTTCTCGTTTTCTTCAATGAAGTTATTTTTTTCAGCATGGTATGAGCAGGCCAAGTTGTATGTGCAGACTCCTATCTTAGAAGAACTAAAGCATCTTGTGAAAATAGTCCACTTGTCTGCATCCACTGTTGCTCACGATTCCATCTCCCCCTCCCCTCCCCGCCTACACATTTTAGATACCAGACATACAACTGGCAGATGACTGTTTTTTCAGCAGCAGCTTGCTACAACAACAGCACTAAGAAAAAAAGACATACACGCCAGTGTTTTCAGTTTTACAACTTAAATTGGCATACTACAGAATGCCCACCAAGTCTTAGTGCCGCATGCTCAGTTCATTTCTACTTCTCACTATGCCTTTCTTGAGAATACTGAATATATGAAATTAATGTATGATAACGATTCACTTCTGAAAGCTGTGTTGTCATATGCATTGACCTACAAGTGAAGGATGTGCTTTAATTTCATTGTGCTTAATGTATAATAACGATTCACTTCTGAAAGCTGTGTTGTCACATGCATTGACCTACAAGTGAAGGATGTGCTTTAATTTCATTGTGCTTTACATACCTTAGCAGCAGAAGGTGCACTGTCATTCGCTGAAAGGCTGATGCATCTGTTCTCAAATAGATTTGTCGTTGTCCTCTGCTTGAAGAGCTCCCAGTGCACCTAATTAGCGCTGGGTTTGGTGAACTACAATCATGTCTAGCTGTTTGCAATCCTGCCCTTTCTTTACAGCATGAAATACTAAGAGCAGGACCATAAAATGTGCTCCACTCGTTGCCTTATTGCTTTGCCGCTTCACTCTTTTAGTTCATTAAATACAAAGCATTTCTTAGCAAACTTCGGCGACTTTGACCGTATCTATTTAGCCACCTAGGACTCTTAGGTCTCCTGGGTGTTTCGAAAATGGTATCAATACCGAAATTGGTATGGCGTAACACGACTGTATGACGAGCATAAGCGACTAGTCGTAACATGAAAATTATTACATGTATGTCATGAATGTCTTGACTTACATTCCATGTTCTTGCTGCTCTTGCACTGGTTTCGTTCACATGAAATATTGCAAAACTGGTATGGTATGACATGACTGCACGGCGAACATAAGCGACTGACCCTAACGAAAAAATCATGACAAGCATGCCATGTAAACCGCGACTACATGCTACGCTCATAGTGCTCTTTGGTTGTTTTGCTAGCTTCATATACACCAAATTTGGTGTTACGAGACATCAATAGATGATGAAGGTATATGACTGGTGCAAACATCATAAACATGACATCATACCTTGCTTATGATGCAATTGTGGCCGTTTCGCTAGCTTCACACATAACAAATTTGGTAATTATGTGTTGTGAATGGACAATGAAGGTAAATGACACATGCAAACATGCTAATCATGATATGCATATCACGTAAAACACCTCTTTATGCTATGCTGAGTCATAGCGTGCTCGTGGCCGTTTCGCTAGTTCCACATATACCAAATTTGGTATCACAGAACGTGAATAGACGATGAAGGTAAATGACATGTCCAAACATAATAATCGTGACATAGAAGTCATGCTCAGTATAATTTACGTCCACTTTGTAACATTTTCTGAATTTAAGCAACATATCAACCTTCCTCATTTGTGCTTCGCACATCATCGATTCCCACTGTACGTGCGATCTGCTAATCTGTTTACATTAACACACT